AAAAGAAAAATCAAGGGATGGGATTATTCACATAGCATTTTAAGGTTAGCAAAGCACTTTACAAATATTATCTCATTTGATCCTTACAACAGTCCTGAGAGGTAGATTATTTTCCCCATTTTACAGATGGGGAAACTAGGTTAAGTGACTTGACTAGGGTACCAGAGCTAGTAAGTGTCTGAGAGAGGATTCAAATTCAGGCCCCGCATTCTATTTACTGGGTACTGAAGAAACTGTTGGATGTGATTGCTTACTGAATGTCAGTGATAACTGAAAGGAAGGAAGCAACTCGACGTTTATTAAGTGCCTACTACTTGCTAGTTACTGTGCTAAGCTCTTTACAAATACTATCTCATTTGATCCTCACTACAACCGTTGGAGGTAGATGCTATTATTATCATTATAGCTGAGAAGAAACTGAGACAGAGAGAGGTTCAATGACTTGCCCAAGGTCACACAGCTTAGTAATTGTCTGGGTCTGGATTTGAGCTCAGATTTTCCTAACTCCAGGACCAGTGCTCTATCCATTGAGCAGCCTAGCTGCCTACAGAAATACCACATGTCAGGTGAAGTGCAAATGCCTCAATTGTTAAAAAAAAAAAAGGAGAATTAGAGCCATATACTACAACCTAGTAAATTTGATTTCTGCCAAAAAAGAAAGAAAGAAGAAGAAAGTTAGTGAACATCCACAAAAAGAAGAGCCAGCATGGCTTAAAAAAAAAAGTCATGCCAGATTAACCCTATCTCCTTTTTTGAAAGCATTATTAAACTGGTAGATCAGGAGAATGCTATAGAACTTAGTGTACAGTACCTTCAGCAATTCTTGGAAAAAAGACACTGAGAGTATAGGGTAGATAATAGCACAATTAGGTGGAATTGGAATTGTTGGAATGTTTGGTAATAGGCATTAGTGTTTCCATGGCCACTTGAAAGGAATGATTCAGTGGAGTGACCCTGGGCTATTTATCCCTAGACCTTTGGACAGAAGGCATGGTGCCATCTTTATCAAATATGCCGATGACCCAAAGCTGCTGCTGTTAGTCCTTCGGAGGCGACCTTGATACAAAAGGAGTGATCCATGACACAAAACAAGGTTAAAGACCTCTGCTACAGAAAGAAATGCAGAGATAGCAAAGTGTAATACAGTCCATGCAGCCCTACCTGAACAGAAAGGTTAAAAAAGTTTAACCCATATAACCAATCAATCAACAAGCATTTCTAAGTGTGGGCCCCTATAAAGACTTCTGTAGAACATCTAGGTAATAATGATAGCTAGCATTTATATAGTACTACAAGGTTTGCAAAGTACTTTACAAATGTTATCTCATTTAATCTTCACTACAACCTTGCAAGGTAGATGCTATAAATATCTTCATTGTACAAATAAGTAAACTGAGGCAGACAGTGGTTAAGTGACCCAGGGCCAACCAGCTAGTGTCTGTGACAGGATTTGAACTTGGGTCTTTCTGACTCCAGGTCTAGCCTCTCTCAACTAGGCCACTTAGCTGCACCAATTCTTATAAGCATGGCTAGCCTCTGTCAACTCTCTACGCACAATAGGTCCTTCAAATTCCGATTATCTCAAACTATAATGTTAGGGGGGGAAAATCTGTCCAGCTACAGATTCTCTTCTGAGAGATTAGCATTTCCATCTGACTACTAGCAGATTTATCTCTGCCCTACCTCTCAGCAATCTCGAGAAAATCTGATCTAGCTAGCTCACCTCCAATCTAATCCTTACAGGCCGAAGTTTTCATTGTCTCTAAAGCCCCAGAACACTTTGTTACTATTAATCTTATGATGTTAAATCAAGAAAAGAAGCATTTATTACGGGCCAGGCTCTGTGTTGAGCAATGGAGATTAAAAGACTGTTACTTATATCACTGATCATACACAAAATATTCCATTTTTTATTAAAGTTACTTCTGTCACATTTCTTTTTTCCTATTCAGTTGAAGGCAAGGTTTATAGAGACATGATAGGGCTGTGGAAAGAAAGAGTGCTGGAACTGGGGTCATAGGGCCTCGAGTAACAATTCAGACACACCAGGCTTCAGTTTCCTCATCTGTAAAATGAGTGGGTTGGAATGGATGACACCCGAGGTGTCTTGCAGCTCTAAATTTACAATCCTAAGTCTTATTCCATTCAAACATTTATTACTAACCCACTCCACACAAAGCAGTGTGTTAGGCTCTGGTGGAAAGTTCCTTCAGTGTGAAGCAATCCAGGAAGGCTGAGTTAAGTAGATCCTTCCCTAAGGGTATGTTTCAGAATCACCAGGGTGAGTCAATATTAGAGGTAGAAGTGATTAGGCACAAGCGTCCTCCTTGTTTTACAGAAGAAGAAATTCAGAGCTGACCAAACTTGCCCAAGGTCATATGGCCAGTTAGTCCCTAAACTTACATCAGTATTCTTAACTTAGTGATCCTACATAGAGGCTCCAGTATCTGGAGGGGATGGGAGTTCGAGGAGGAGGAGGATGGGTCACTAGGGACAAAGTTCACTGAATTCACCAACTGGCTGGAGACCAAGAGGCACCTCTTTGGATTGAGAGCTGGACCTGATGTCAGGAAGACCTGATTTCAAATCCAGCTGTTCACCCTAATCCACTGGAGAAGGAAATGGCAAACTACCCCAATATCTTTGCCAAGAAAAGTTAGATTGAGCAATGACTCAACAACTACCACCAGAACTTTAAAGGGATCAAAGATATGTTCTTAAGCAACTCCTGAGAGCACATCTTTTGCTTCTCCAGCCTGTGTCTGGAATCTCTAGGAAACCAAAAAGACAAGTAGACTGGATATGTAAAATGGCAGTAGCATTGTAATAATAACACCAATTAGCATTTATGTAGTGCTTTAAGGTTTGCAAACAGCTTTACAAATATCTTATTTGAACCCTCCATTTTACAGATGAGGTGCAGAGATTTGTTAAGTGCTTGACCAGGCTCACAGAGCTAATTAGTTTCTGAGGCCAGATTAGTAGATCTTGACAATGGAACCAAGAGTTGTCAATTGAGATCCAGGTTCACAACGTAGGGATTCTTGGATTCCATACCCCTAGAATTCTCAGTCTCTCACTACCCATAGGCAGTCTGTTGCAGCTAAAAGGCCTGTTGATTTTACCTTTGCTCCATCTCTCAAATACACCCCCTTCTCTCCTCTGACACTGGCACCACTCTAGTGCAGGCCCTTTTCACCTGATCCTTGGATTATTGCAATAGTTGCTGGTGGATCTGTCTGCCCCAAGTCTCTCCCCACTCCAGTCCATCCTTCTCCATTCTGCCACCAAAGTGATTTTCCTAAAACACAGATATGATCAAGTCATCCCCCTATTCAGTAAACTTCAATGGTTCCTTATCACTTCCAGGAACAAATACAAAATGCTCTGTTTCACATTCAAAGCCCTTCATAACCTAATTCCTTCCTACCTTTCCAGTCTTGCATCTGACTTCCCTATGACAAATATTATTTGATCCAGTGACACTGATCTGGCTGTTCCACTAACAAGACGCTTCAATTCGACTTGGCATTTTCTCTGTCTCCCATACCTGGAACATTCTCCCTCCTTCTATCTGACTGCTGACCTCCCTGGCTTCCTTTAAGTCTCCACTGAAATCCTACCTACTACAGGTCTTCGCCAACATCTCTTAATTCCAGAGCCTCCCCTCTGTTAATTATTTCCTATTTATGGTTGGATTTATATATCTGTTTACATGTCTTTATGGTTAGATGGTAAGTTCTTTGAGGATAGAGGCTTTGTCCTTTTTTTGTGCCAGGGCCTGGCACATAATACATAATAGGTTCTTAATATAATTTATTATATTTGGGATACAAAAAAATAAACATTAAGCACCTACACAGTGCCAGGCACTGTGCTAAGCGCTGAGAGTACAAAAAAAGGTACAGACGGTCCCTGCCCACGAGGAGCTCACAATCTATAGATCTACTGCACCACCTACCTGCTCCTATTAGAAATCATTCATCTGTAGTAAAATATCAATTTTTCAAATCCTCTGGAACTTTAGAGACCTGATAGTTTTATTTTTTTTCTGCTTAACTTTAAACAAAACAAACGTTTCTTTAACAAAATATAATAAGTATTATCATTTGGTATTAACCACATTGGTCACAGCCAGAAAGGTTTAAATCCGAATTCTACCTTAAACACTTATTAGCTGTGTGGTCCTAGGCAAGTCCTTGAATCTGCCAGCCTGTTTCCTCATCAGTAAAAGGAGTACAATAGCACCTAACTTTTAGGGTTGTAGGGAGGATTAAATCAGCTATGTATGTATGTATGTATGTATGTATGTATGTATGTATGTAATGTATGTAAAGCGCTTTGCTAACCCTAAACGCTAATATAAATGTTGGCCACTATTATTGCCGTGGGGGCGGCGGGGGAGATAAATAGAAAATTGAGATTCTGCGTGGTTAACTGCCTTGCCCATGGTCATACGGTAAATATTAGAGATGGGATTTGAGCCCCAGTCCAGCTCAAATGCAGCATCTCATGTCCATGGGTCTATGTTTTAACTGATTCCCTGGTTCCCTCCTCGGTCTTTCACCCACGTGTCTGGATATATCTGGAGTAAATTTCACGGAAGACCAAATAAGGGATCTCTTTGTCTCATGCGCACTGGAGCCGTAATTCCTTGGAAGGAAGCTAAAGGGTCCCTTTTGTTGTCGAGGCAGGAGCCTTCTTGAAAACTTTAAAGTCTCTAGAAAGTTTTCCTATTCCTTTCTAGACTCTCCTGAAACGCCCCTATAAAGAGATATTTTAAATTCCAAAGAGGTTTGCTAGGGGGACACAAAAGCAAGCGTTTGAATTCCTCCCCTTCCGCTCAGGCTTCGGTGGAGACAGCCATTATTGACGGTTGCTAAGGTCGGGGGGGGGGGCGCGCCTTCGGTTTCTATGGCAACGATCTAGCGTCCATGGCGAAGTCCCTTGGACCAGTAGCGTTTGAGGGTAACGTGGTTGGAAGCAGGGAGGGGGGCGAGGGGAATTTTGCTATGGCTTTAGGTTTGCCTATGTTCTTGGGAGCTGGGGGCTGACGCTGCTCCTTCACATCCATCGTGGGAACCTTTCCTCCAACAGCCTGGACCCCTTCCTACCCGCTCCTAGCTCCGAGGTCCTTCCCTAGTTGAGTGGCTCGGACTTTTTTGGGGGCCGGGGATAGGACCAAGGCGGCGGGCAGGGGGGAATCCCGGCTCCAGCCCAGACAAGGGTGGGAGCCGAGCTCGCCCTCCCCCGCACCCTTTGGCAACCTCCCAGGAGTCAGGTTATCCAGCCTCGCTTTGAGAACCTCCTGTGAAAGGCTGGCGCTCATCCCTAGGCAGGATCATTTAGGCCCATAGGTGCCAGGGAACGACCAGAGGTTCTCGAGTCCATCCCCTTGGTTTGAGGAAAGCTAGCTCAGCAAGGTTAAGAAACTGGCCCAAGGTCACATAGTCAGTAAAAGGCAGAGCTGAGACTCCAACCCAGGTTCTTTGAGTTCAAATCCCAAGAGCCTTTCCCACTGGTCCACCAGGAACGCAGGCTGCAGTCTTTTCGTGTGCCCTTGTCACCTTAACTGTCACTTTGTCACTTTTTAATATTTTTCTCTCTCTTAGGACTGTGGTGGTAACTGGGAGTGGAAACACTGAATAAAAGAATAATAATTGTTACTCACCATGTCTAAAAGTAAAAAGTCTGGTTTATTGCCACCTGTCCAGCCCTCAACTTCTGGGAAAGAAGCTATGGACTTGAAGGCCACCAACCAAAAGGAGATAGGTAAAAAAACTCACCAAGGAAGCACAATTCTGTCCAGAGGTGGACAACGTTCCGTATTCACTTTCCCTCATTTGGGCTGGCTACATATCTAATACTTATATAACTGTTTTCTAATACCATGTTTAAATAAGGGTAAAAGAGTGATTCTTTTAATACATCGAAACACCTGCTTTCACCTTGTCTCATGACATTCATATAGCAAGTTTGGCTGTGTATCTGTTTTATTGCCAAGCCCTGTTTTATGTTCTGAATTAATCCTATTTTAAACAGCTTGTAGGTTAGGTTATATGAAAAATTAAATTCAATAAGTATTTATTAAGCACCTTCTATGTGCCAATCACTGAACAGGAGCAGGATAATATAGAGGAAAGAACACTAATTGTCTTGGGAATCGGAGGACTTGAGTTCAAATCACGATTCTGACTTTTACTACCTATATGACCTTGGGCAAGTCACTTAGACTCCCAGGGCCTCAGTTTCCTCATTTTTAAAATGAGGGGCTTGGACTGGATGGCTTCTAAAGTCCCATCATGCTCTAGATCTGTGATCCCCCGAGCTCGAGGAAGTTGAAGTCAGTCTAGGAGATAGTAAATGTATATACTCTAGAAATGTATAGATTTCTAGGGAATCTTGGGCTTTCTTTTTGGAGGGGGTGAGGCAGCTAAAGAGAGATCTGTGATTTCATTAGAATTGGAATCACTCAATGAGGAATCACTGTTAAGGCAGATAGGTGCATGCTCTGCATATTCTTATATAGCTGCTTGTGGCACTAAGAAGTTATGTTTGAGAAGTTATGTTAAGTCTGGATTGGGGAAGAAAGCGTGCAAACAACTGTATACATACAAGATACAATTTAGGGGCAGCTAGGTGGCACAGTGAATAGAGCACCAACCCTGGATTCAGGAGGACCCGAGTTCAAATCTGGCCTCAGACACTTATTAGCTGTGTGACCCTGGGCAAGTCACTTAATCCCATTGCCCAATCCCCCTCCCTCCCCAAAAAGATGCAGTTAACATGGAAAGATCATCTCCTGGTAAAGGCACTAGCAGGGGAAAGAGTGGTGCCTGGAAAAGTCATACATCCAGTGTTGGTCAGAACCCAGATCTTCCTCATTCCAAGGCTACCTCTCTAAAGCCTTGCTTAATTTTCTGTTTTCTATTTTTTTCTATTTATCTTTTTCTAAATGTTGTTAATATTTTCTTTGGCTTAATGCTATAATTCTTAAATAAATAAAAGCCTAAGCTATAGATAAAAAGTAAGGAGACTTTTCCTACTTCCAGATGCCAAAAGTTTACTCATACCACTACTCCTTATTGTTCTGGATGCATATTGTGCCACCAGTATCCATTTTCCCCTATTTTCACTGATAACAGAATTTGTTCCTAGCTCCTATAGAACAGATACTTGTTATTGATGGCCCCACTGAAAGATTTATCATGATCCAAATGTGATTTTTCTATATATGTAAGTTATTATTATGCATAGTCAAGGCAGTGGCTTTTTGGAGAGACATGTACCAAGAACTAGATCCAGTTCAAAACATTACAACCAGATCAAATTGATAAACTATCTCTGATTGAATGGCTTTCCAAATTCAAGCTTGTTAGATGATAACAATAAAAAATTTATGTCATTTGATACAGGCTTGTTTATAAGAAAAAAAAAGTGAGGAAGGGGAGGTCATAGATCGACCTGTTGCTTTGCTAATTGAAATCATGGGATCAAAGATTTAGAATAGGAAGGGAATTTAGAGGCCTTTTAGTCCAACCCTCCCCCATCCCCCACTTTCCAGGTGAGGAAAATGAGGACCAGGAAGGATAAGTGACTTGCCCAAGGCCACAAAGGCAGAATCAGTATTTGAACTCAAGGCCTCTTACATGAGCCATAGCCATATAGTCTGTTATTTCCTGATTCTGTGAAATAAACTGACACGGAGCTGTAAGAACATCTTATCTATAGCCAAACTGATTTATTCACTTCTCCCATGCCCTTCTTGTACTACCTTGTCTTAATTTTCCCCACAACTGCTAACTGTGAGTAGCCCCCAAGGCTGTGTCCTAGGCTCTCATCTCTTCATAACTATGCTGTTTCACTTTGTGATCTCTTCAGCTTGCATTGTTTCTATTATTGTCTCTGAACAGATAACTCTCCGTTCTACTAGTCCAGTCCTAACTTCTCTCCTCACCATCAGTATGGTATCTCCTGCTGCTCATTTCCAACTGGATGTCCCATACACATCTTCAACTCTACGTGTCCAGATGTGATCTTTCCTCCCAAATCCTTCACTCTTTCTAACTTCCAAGGCTTTGTCTTGGACTTCCTACTCTCTACTTGCTGACTGACCAACCATCTGTCTCCTGTGGTGATCTTATAAGAGTTCAATTATTATCTTTTTGCAAATGATTCCCAGGTCTAATACATACGGTCCTAACATCTCCTGAGCCCTCACATCATCACCTTTTGAACATCTTGAACCATATGTCTTGTAGATATCCCAAGCCCATCCTGTCCAAAACAAAGCTCATTACCTTTCACCCCAAACCTTCCCAGCTTCCAAACTTTCCTATTATGGTTGAGGGTACCACTATCCTTCCAAACACCCAGATCTACAACTTGGGTGACATCCTTGATTCCTCAGTTGTACTCACCCAGCTCCTGACATTGGGCCTTTTTCTTTTTTTTTCTTTTCTTTTCTTTTTTTTTTGAATCGGGCCTTTTTAGAAAAATGTATTTGTAGTTAACTCTTTGGTCGAAGTGTTGACAAGTCCTGGCATTCGTTTCTACCTTGGTGTCGTCTCTCATATGTATATCCCTCTCTCTGCCCTCCTGCTGCCTCCATCCTCATGGCCTCATCACCTTAATTTTAGATGACTGCAGTGACCTTTTGGTTATTCTCTTCATTCACTCAACGCTGCCAAAACGATCTTCCTAAAATTCCAGCCTGACTCTCTTGTTCCATAATCAGTAAACTCCAGTGGATCCCCCTTACCTCCAGGGTCATATAGAATCCTCGGTTTGGTTTTTAAAGCCTTTCACTACCTGGTATCCCCCTACCTTTCTAGTCTTCTAATACCTTACTGCCTTCTGTGAGCCCATGGCTCTAGTCTCTTTGCTGGTCCTTGAAGGAGAAACAGTTTCTGGACTCTGGCATTTTCCCCAGCTCTCCCCCATGGCTGAAATGCTTTCCTTCCTCACCTCCACCTCCCTGGCTTCTCTTCCTTCATTCAACTTTCAGCTCAGATTTCACTTTCTGCAGGAGACCTTTCCCCTGCTAGTGCCTTCACACAAGGATTATGTCTGGTATGTATGTATGTAGTAATTTGCGTGGCATCTCCCTATTTGATTGTGAGCACCTTGAAGTCAGGGACCATATAGTACTTATGCTTAGCTCACTGCCTGGTGCATAGTAAGTACTTAGAGCTTATTGATTGACATTCTTAGGATATATCCTTACCTAAGGAAATCTTCATGTATGGACATTTTATTCACTTTACATGCACAATTCCAAATTGCTTTCCAGAATAATGGTACCAATTCACCACTCCACCAACTATCTCTTAATTGCCAAATCTGCTGGCTTTTTTCAATTCTCATCTTTCTTTTATTATCTGCCCTTCATTTAACACTGTTGACTTCTCTTTCCTGAATATTCTCTCCTTTCTTGGTTTTCTTGACACTACTCTTCTGGTTCTTTTACCTGTCTGTCTACTTTTTCTCAGTGTCCTTTGCTGGTTCGCTATCCATATCATGTCCGGATTTAATGTGAATGTTCTCCTGGGCCTTTTTCTTAGTCTATACTCTCTTGTAGTCCAAACAGGTACATTGGGTTTAATTGTGGTCTTTGATGATTCATATTCATTTCTATAAGTCCAGCTCTATTCTGTCCCCTGAGAAGTCCCACATTACCAATTGACTATTGGACATTTCATTTTAACAGATGAGAAATCTGAACCTCACAGACTTACACAGCTTTAAGTGGCAGAATTAGGGCCAAAAGAGAGATTTTTAAACTAATGATCCATTTGCTTTTCTGTGCCACAGGTTCTTTTGCATACTTATGTTATTTTCAACTGTCTGTCTAGAAGTAGTGATTCTGTCTGTGAAGTCAGCAGCAGCATTCATTTTAGAGAACTCATTTCGGTGGTTGTTTTTCAGTCAAGTGGATTTTAAGATCTGTCCACCAATTAGAGATAAGATGTTCTTCCCATCTTTTTTTAAAATAAATTTTGTTTTTATATTGCCTAACTTTTCCCCTATATTCTTTCCTCCGAAAGAGCTGTCTCATATAACAAATAATTTCTTTTAAAAGGAAGATGAAAAAAAATCAATGTATTGAAAAAAATCTGACAGCAGTATGCAACATTCAACATCTTGGGATCCTTCACCTCTGCCCAGTATTAGGTTCCACTTTTGTAAAAATATGAGCTTTTTGTTTTCCCCTGCCCACGACACCAGCAACTTTTCTCTCCAACTACTTTCTAGCGGTCTCAGCGGGGGATGAGAAATCCAGCGCTTTGGTCTGCTCCCAGCAAACCCAGCTGCAGTGTGATTTCATCCCGGAGGAAATTATTCTGTCTCTGACCAACGCAGCCTATGCCTGCGGTTGCCCTGAATCTTTACTACCCCCCAAGAAAGTCAAAACTATCAAAGAAATGAAGGTAGGTGAGGTTGGGAGCATTTCAGCTTCTGACATGGGGCCGGCTTAGAAAAATATATTTGTAAATAACTCTTTGGGTAGAAATCTATGAACTTTCCCTAAAAGGTCGAGGCCCCTAGGCAAATGAATGAATGAAACTTGCCCTCTGTCATTCTCATTAACCTGTTTTAATGTGAATTGACTGAAATGGCTGATTTCTGGGGTTTTGCCCTCTTATGTAATAATTCCTAGATAACCGTGATCTGTGTTTAACCCTACGGGACCACAGTAGCTAGATAATCCTCATGTTTGCTGCTTCCCCACGGCCCCGTACGCTTTCATTCAATAAGGTGAGCAATGATACAATGTAACCTGTTTGCTCTGGATTTGAGCCAAGTAGCTGTGTCTGGTTTTCATGTGACACGCGCGCCCTCTGCTGAGCTGCGGTCTATCTGTTTCTCTTTAGCCCGGCATGCGCTCGACGAACGGTGTTTGGCATCACCCAGGACGGAGGAACAAATTCAGATACCTGACAGATAACCCCATCTCGTTCACGGGAGCTGGAAGGTAAAGGGAGAGTGAATGAGGGAACGGGAAGGATGTAGAAGAGACTTTTTATTTTTGCTAGACCTGTGATTGCATCGGCCTGGGGAGCCCCCAGGGAGGAACTTTCTCTACCAATGCAGACCAACACTTTGTCAGCATCTTACTGTTCACCGAAGGCTCTGCTAATTGGATGAGCCTCGAACCAGCCGCCATGTGTCCGAGGGGGGCTTTGAACCCAAAACTTTCCGACCTCTATCCGATATGCCACACCATGTGTGCCTCTGGAAGAGACTTAGTGTGTGTCATTTTTCTTATTCTTTTCCACACCCATAGACTTGATGCTCAATTAATAATCATAGCTAGCATTCATATAGTTCCTACTATGTGCCAGGTACGGTGCTTGGCACTTTGCAAATATCACTTCATTTGATTCTCACAACAACCCTGGGAAGTAGTTGCTCTTATGATCCCCATTTTACAGTGGAGGAAACTGAGGCTGAGAGGTTAAGTGATTTGCCTTGGGAATACACAGCTGGTAAATATCTGAGGCTTTATCTGAACTCGGATCTGCCTGACTCCAGACCCAGTGCACAATCCACCCAGCTACTGCTAATAAAACTCTGTGTGGGTTTCTGGGAAGGGTAAAAATGGGAAATCATAAAATGTTAGAATTGGACATTTTCTTGGTTATTCTCAATAGGATCATAGATTTAGAGCAGAAGGGACCTTGGATGTCAACTAGTCCAATCAGAGAGGCAAACTGAAGCTTAGAGAGATTAAGCAATCTTTGAGAAATAGAACAGGTAGTAAGTGGCAGAGCTAGGATTTGAACCCAGGTCCTTGGTTTCCATCTGTGGAATTTTTTCCCCTGCACTATACCACCCTATCCCCACAACCTGAAGAAGGAAAGTAGCAGCTTTTCTTGGGCTTCATATCATCAACAACAAACATTAAGAACAAATGCTCTGCTTTGCCCCTCACACTGCTGTTGGACAAGGTGGGGCCAAATATCACATCTAGTACAGAGAAAAGGCTCTAAAATAGACTCGGTATAAGAAGAGGGGAGGAGTAAACCAGTTATTTCTAGAATCTGTTCAATCTTTTGTTTTCCTCAAAGTGCACTCTAGTTATCTATCAGTCTTAATTCAAATCAGCAGAAATTTCCTAGACCCTATTTTAAGAATAACAACAATATCACCTTATGTTTCCATGGCAATCTATGGTTTTCAAAGCTTTTTTTTTATTTGGCTCTCACAAGAACACATTGCAGTCCACAAGGCTGAGTCCACTTTAATTATCCATAATTTGCAGAGGAGGAAATGGAGCCTCAGAGAGACCAGGTGGCTTGCTCATTGTCTAGATACACACTGTGTTAAACTCTTTTCTTTGGGGGTGGACCAAAGTTCAAGGGTTTGTAGAGTTCCATATAACTGAGATTTTTTCCCCTGTGTTTGTGTGTCTGTGGGATTGCAGAGAAGGTCATAGAGGTAGTGATGTTTCTAATCCCACTGCAGGAAAGTACCAAGACTTTTTATACTTCTTGGTATGTAATTGTTCTGGGGTTATTTTGGGGTGGCGGCAAAGGGCTTACGTGCTGCTTTTCCTTTCTAGGTGCTAGCATTATTCTTAAGTTCATTATCCTTCTGAACATTCCAAGTTTTTCAGGACTTGGGTCTTCTGTGATCATTCAAAAGTTTTATGCTTTCTGACTGTGGCTTACAACATGGTCACTGGGTCATTTTTTTAAGTACTTCCCTACGCTATCCTCATTTACAAAGCTGGAGGGATGTGAGTTAGAGGATTGATAGTCAAGCGGCTTCACAGTTGGCAAATGGCCAGAGCCAAGGAATAACCAGTGTTCTTTGGGGTCATCAGATCCCCAGGGATTGTGCTTGGCCTTTTGTTGTTGTGGATATAGCAATAATAACATACATCTGTATAGTGCTTAAAAATTTGCAAAATACTTTACATTTCAATAGAATGCATGATTGTTAACATTTTTAAGTCACACAAAGCTGGACAAAAGATAGCTAACATTTTGGGTATGTAGCCTGTAGATTCCCAACTCTACCTATACAGCCCTAACCTCTCTGCTGACCTCTGCTCTCAAATCTCCAATTACCTTTCAGATATCCTCAACTGAATGTCCAGTAGAGATCTTACCCAACATGTCCAAAACCACACTCATTATTTTCCTCCTTAAGCCCTCCCAATTCTCCTATTACTGTAGAGGGCAATACCATCCTCCCAGGCCCTCAGGCTCACAACCTAGGAGTCATCCTGGATTCCTCACTGTCTCTCTCTCTTTTTAAATTAATTTATTTTTAGTTTTCAACAATCACTTCCATAAGCTTTCGAGTTTTAAATTTTCTCCCTCTCCCTCTTAGCCTCCCTCCCCAATCTGGTATGTGTATATACGTTACTTTTAAACATGTATACATTCCTTTAAAACATATTTTAAACATATTTTCACATTAGTCATGTTGTAAAGAAGAATTAGAACCAATAGGAGGAACCATAAGAAAGAGGAAGCAAAACAAAACAGAAGGAAAAAAACCCCAAAGAACAAGTAGTATGCTTCGATCTGCATTCAAACTCCATAGTTCTTTCTCTGGACATGGATAGCATTTTCCAAGACCTTTGGAGATGTCTTAGATCCTTGTATTGCTGGGAAAGGTTAAGTTTATCAATGTTAGTCATCGCACAATGTGGCTGTTATTATGTACAAAGTCCTCTTGGTTCTGCTCACTTTACTCAGCATCAGTCCATACAAGTCTTTCCAGGTTTTTCTGAAGTCAGCCTGTTCATCATTTCTTATAGCACAATAGTAGTCCATTACATTTGTATACCACAGCTTGTTCAGCCACTCTCCAGTTGATGGACATCCCCTCAATTTCCAATTCTTTGCCACCACAGAAAGAGCTGCTATAAATATTTTTGAACATGCCTCACTGTCTCTTATCCCCCACATCCAAGCTGTTGCCAAGGCCTTTTGAATTCACCTCTGCAACATTTCTCACATACTTCCCCTTCTCTTCTCTGACACTGCCCCCACTCTGGTGCAGACCCTCACCACCTCAATTCTGGATTATTACAATAAACCGCTTGTGGGTCTACTTGCTTCAAGTCTCTCTCCCCACTCCAATCCATCCTTCATTCAGCCACCAAAGTCATTTTCCTAAAGCACAGGTCTAACCATGTCAACGCCCCTCCTCCCCCCAACTCAGTAAACTCCAATGACTCCCTCTTGCCTTCAGGATTAAATACAAAAATGCTCTGTTTGGTGTTCCAAGCCCTTCATAACCTAATCCCCTTCTTTTTACACTTTGCTCTTGCACATTCTATAGGAAGCCTTTCCCAACCCTTCTTATTTCTACTGCCTTCCCTTTCTTAATTATTTCCTATTTGTCCTGAATATGGCTTGTTTGTATGTAGTTTTTGCTTGTTGTCTCCCTGTTAGATTGTGAGCTTCTTGAGGGCAGGGACTGTCTTTTGCCTCTTTTTGTATCCCCTGCACTTAGCATGGTGCCTGGCACATAATAGACTGACCAACAGTAGGCGGTTCTTTGGAAAACAAAGCTGGTTGGCTGGTCCTCACCCTCTTTTCACTTCCTCTCCCTTCTGAAAAGGGGTTGAGCAGAATCCTTCCAAACCGTGCCCGTCTCTGATCCCTCCCTTTGGATTTGGGCAAGGCCTTCCCTTTGACCACCATCTTTTTCTCCCTTTCATCCCCCTCCTTTAGTATGAGGCTCTTGTATGGGGAGGGGGGAATGGAGATGTTTGGTTTTTTTAGTCCCCCCCCCACTAGTACCTGCTCTCACTCACTGCACAATGTCTTGTGTGTATGAGTTTGTTACATGCTATTTTCATTATTAGAATGCGAACATCTTGAGGGCAGAGACTTTTGTTTTGCCTTTCTTTGCATTCCAAGTGCTTGCCGGAGAAAGTGCTCAATAAATGCATGTTGCCTCATAGGCTGCAACAGATGGTGACTAGTTGAAAGAACTGGGGGTGCTTCACCTTTGTGAGAGAAGACCTAGAATGTCGTAGAAGTCTTCAAATATTAGAAAGACAGCTGTGTGGAGTCTGTGTGCCCCAGAGGCAAGCCTAGGACCAATGGGCAGAAGATTCAGAGATAGATGTAGTCTTGATGTAAGGGCTACCTGCCAGCTGTGTGACTCTGGGCAAGTCACTTCACCCTGTTTGCCTCAGTTTCCTCATCTGTAAAGTGAGCTGGAGAAGGAAATGGCAAACCACCCCAGTATCTTTGCCAAGAAAGCCCCAAATGGGGTCATGAAGAGTCAGACGTGACTGAAACGACTGAGCAATACAAGGGCAACCCTCCTTGGAGCTGTTCAAAAGGTGTCATACACTGCCTTTAGGAAGTAGTCAGTTTGCTATCACTGGAGACCTCCAAGGAAGGGCTTAATTAGTACTTGTCTGAGATTCAGTAGAGGGGCCACTTGCTCAGTTCTAGGTTCCACTAGATGATCCCTGAGGTTCTTTCCAGTTCTGAGATTCTGTGATCTAGAAATATTTGAAAAAAGCTACCCTCTTGAAATTAAGGCTTAAACAGAGCAGCTAGGTGGTGTCGTGGATAGAGCACCAGCCCTGAAGTCAGGAGGATCTGAGTTCAAATTCGGCCTCAGACCAAACACATGATACTCGATAGATAGCTGTGTGACCTTGGGCAAGTCACTTAACCCCAAATTGCCTAAAAATAAAACAAACAAACAAATAAACAAATTAAGGCTTAAACAAGATAAAGTTTAAATTACATTGTAATAGTTTGGCAGAGTGAAAAAGTATTAGATTTGAAATCAGAACCTTGTGATCTTCCCTTTGGCTCTGCCACATGTGATATGGGAAAGTTGTTTCATTTCTCTGGGTCTCCATTTCCTCATCTGTAAAATGGGAATAATAGTACACTTCACAGTGGCAGGATGAGGAAAATTCTTGACTAAATTTCCGTGTAAATATGAACTCATTATGCCTAAAATTTCTTAACATTTTTTCCATTA